AGAATAGAATAGAATAGAATAGAATAGAATAGAATAGAAGAGGAGAGAATGGAATGGAATGGAATGGAATATAGAATAGAATAGAATAAGAAGAATAAAAATAGAATAGAATAAGAATAGAAAACAATAGAATAATAGCATAGCATAGTGTAGAATAATAGAATAGAATAAGATAGGATAGGATAGGATAGGATAGGATAGGATAAGATAAGAAAGGAATAGAATAGAATATAGAATAGAATTAGAATAGAATAGAATAGAATAAGGATAGAATAGAGTAGAATAAGAACAGAATATAGAATAGAATAGCATATTAGAATCAAATGTAAATAAAAAACATCAATATTTTATACTCCATATTATAACTGCTGCTAGAATTTCCTTTGCCCAAAACTGGGAACAGGCCGTGATCCCCTCAGAAACCGTAATAATCAATAAGATATTTGAATGCGCCCAAATGGACAGATTGACGATGTTATTGGAAAGCAAGATGCAAAATACTCAAAACAAAAGACTTTCTCTTGGGAACCAAGGTCATTCTCACACCTAGCCTGGCAACCAAGCAGCGTCGTGATTGGACCATGTGACTGATTGTTTTGGGGTTGAGGGAAAACATCCTCTTTTAACTGGGTGAAAAACCGCGGGAACCTTCAGAGTCGGTTTTCACCAATTCTGTGCCAATATGATATATCCCAAAAAAAAACCCACTATTTTTTGAGGAATCCACCTGCCTCAGAGTCTTGCGTGCTGTGGGTCTGTTACGTGGAACCCTGACATGACTTACAAGAGTTCATTTAGTGACCATTCAAAGTTACAACAGCACGGAAAAAAGAGACCGAGAACCATTTTCCCACACTTGCAACCGTTGCCGCATCCCCACGGTCACGTGATCCCAATTCGGCTGCTTGGCAACGGAGTCCCATTTATGATGGTCGTAGTGTCCCTGGGGGTCATGTGGTCCCCTTTTGCGACCTTCTGATGAGATGGAGCCAGGGCCATCTGGGAGTTATGTGCTGACTCCGGAGCCTCCGGAGTCTGGCAGTAGCGAGGCAGAGGAACAGCGGGAGCCTGTTCCCAGTGTGCGTATGCGCAGAGCAGCCAGAAGGCAAGAGCAACTAAGACAAAAGGGGCGACTCAAGAGTCTTATGGGATTGCCCCTCCCCTAAGACATAAAGGAGGAGCAAAGGGACAGGAGCCTTTGCAGGAAGCAACTTTGCTTTGTTCGGATTAAACCTTGAAGCTCTGTCTGGACTTTGTACTCCGTTTGGCTCTTTCCAGTTAATTTGGCACTTTGGTTGTTGGCAGCAATTCAACGGAGAGAAAGGTGGGTGCTTATCTCGAGGAACTATTTGGGACTCATTACGGGCTGGGAATGAACATAATTCCTAGCGTTTAAATAAAACAAGAGTTGTTTGGACTAAGTGTGTGCTTAATTGCGATCTCAGAAAGCTGAGAACACTTACAGAATTGCTCAGAACACTTACAGATGAATATCAAGTCCTTGTTTTCTTCAGTGATGGCCACGGGATCTGTCGATTGAGTGACGCAGCCTGAAAGGACAGGTAAGGGAACAGGTAAGGATCCCAGATGTTTGTGGCCACAGCTGGAAGATTTCTGGCAGGGTTATGGTTAGGTTTGGCCAGACTGTGGCCAAGACCAAGCAAGTCAGGGCTATGCAGACCAAAATAATATTCTCTCTCAGTGCTCATGCCAGCACCTTAACCACTAGACCAGATTGCCTCTCAATCACATACTCTAGTTTTCCAGAAATAAAATAACGTTTCACGGATGTGCCATATCTGGAATGGGCCAGAGAACAGACAGCCTCAAGAAAAGCAAATTTCAAAGGTCAACCCCCAGAGGTCATGCAATCATTGATATACAACTTTATTTTAAATAAAGCAACAGAAAATATGTGTGTGTGTGTACTCACTCTCTCTGTGTGTGTACTCTCTCTCTGTGTATATATACACACAGAGAGAGAGACACACAGAGAGAGAGACAGAGAGAGACAGAGAGAGAGACACACACACATACACACACACACAGACAGGCACAGGCACACACACACACACACACACACACACACACACACACACAGACAGACAGAGAGAGACAGAGAGAGAGACAGAGAGAGACACACACACACACAGAGAGAGAGAGAGACAGGCACAGAGAGATAGAGATAGAGACAGAGAGATAGAGAGAGACACACACAGAGAGAGAGACAGACAGGCACAGAGAGACACACACACACACACAGACAGACAGACAGACACAGAGAGACAGAGAGAGAGACAGAGAGAGACACAGAGAGAGAGACACACAGAGAGAGACAGACAGGCACAGAGAGACAGAGAGAGACAGGGAGACAGAGAGAGAGAGAGACACACACAGAGACAGAGACAGAGAGAGAGAAAGAGAATGTGGACAATACAATACAGGTAATCCTTGACTTACAACAATTCATTTAGTGACCATTCAAAGCTAACAATGGTACTGGAAAAAGTGACTTATCCCAGAATTCCCCGGTTAGAATGGTTCAAGACAGGTAAACTTCAACTCCCAAATTCCTCCGCTAGGACTGTACAAGAGGGGGTATCCTTTAATTCCCAGAATTCTCAGGCAAAATGGTTCAAGACAGGTGGACTTCAACTCCCAGAATTCTTCAGCCTTCAATGCCCAGAAGGCAAAATGGTTCAAGAGGAGGGGGCAACTCCCAGAATTCCCTAGCCAGATTGGTTCAAGGTGGGTGGACTTCAACTCCCAGAATTCCTCAGCTAGAACAGTACAAGAGGGATAGCCTTCAAATCCCAGAATTCCCCAGGCAAAATGGTTCAAGAGGAATGGACTTCAACTCCCAGAATTCCCCAGTCATAATGGTTCACAGCGGGTGAACTTCAACTCCCAGAATTCACCGGCTTACCAATAAAGATGGTAGCTGCTCTCCGGATGGAAACCTGGGGACACTGAAGATGATCCAAACACTGGAGCAAGACGGCGGGGATGTTTTTTACCTTCCAGGACTGTCAAAGGGCAAAGAGACAAAGAAACGATCATTTCCTCACCACAGGCATCAGAAAAATAGGGAAGGGACCTTGGAGGTCATCTAGCCCAACCCCCTGATCAAGCAGGAGACCCTATCCCATTTCAGACAAACAGCTGTCCAGTTCCTTCTTAAAAGCCTCCGGGGTTGGAACGCCCACAAACGATGAGCATCGGGGCGACATTTTCACGTCAAAACGCCTCGGGTACTGAGTTCGACAAGTTTCAAAGCAATCGATTACCAAGGTACCACTGTGATAATACCCGTGTTTCCCCGAAAATAAGACCCTGTCTTATTTGGGGGTTGTTGTTTTTTTGCCACCAAAAATGGCACCAGGCCTTATTTTCGGGGATGCCATCCATTGATTAACCTCACTTGCGCGCGTCGCCCCCGGCCTCCTTTTCGCTGTCAGAGACATTCCAGAACTTTTCCTTCTTCTGCGACCGGCAAGGCTTTCCTGAAGGTCTCTGCAGCTGATATAACAGACCTCTGGATCGATCCTGAGCTTTGTGATCAGCTCCAGAGGCCTTCAGGAAAACCTGGCCTGCCTTGCTGGCTGCAGAAGAAATTGGCCGGCAAGGCAGGTGTCGGGAGTGTGTGAGGCCTGGCTACACCTGTCCAAAGGTAAGTAGTAGGGCAGCTCCACCTCCCCTCACCCTCACCCTAGCTTAATTTGTACCCATGCACTCTGGAGCGGGAAGGATCTTAATTAGGACTTATTTTGAGGGGAGTGCTTATATTGGGCACACATGTACAAAAAATCAAGCTAGGACTTACTTTTAGGTTGTACTTTTGGGGAAGCAGGATAATAATCATTTTAAAAAGGAGGAAGCGAGACTCACGATTTGGCGGCAGAGGCTCTCTGGGATCACAGGGTGATCGTGCCAAGCTTTCTTGCTGCTGATCTTCTTCGGAAGGGACCAACCCAGGAACCGGAAACACCGGAGAAGCGCATCCTGGCAACCCTGCGGGAACAGGGACAAAGTGCCAAGCGGCAATTCCAAGGGGACGGGCATGGCTTTTGGGGCACATCCGTTCCTATTGGTTCCCCCTTCTTTCCTTCCTCCCTTTTCAAAATAAGAGGCCCTCCTGGACGGACGACCACAACTGAGCCCAACAGTTCCGTCGCTAAGCGAGACAGGGGCCAAGCGAGTTTCTCCCCGTGCTACGACCTTTCTGGCCGCCGTGGTTAAGTGAACCGCTGCAGCTGGTAAGGTCGCGAAATGATTCGGGCTTTTCCCATCGACTTTGCTCGCTCAAGGGGGGATCACGAACTGTGGTGGGCTTCAAAATTTTGTACTACTGGTTCTGTGGGCGTGGCTTGGTGAGTGTGGTTAGGTGGGCATGGCCATGTGACTGGGAGGTGGGCATGGCCATGTGACTTACTACCAGTTCAGCAACTCACGCCAAATCCTTGCTACCGGTTCACTCGAACCGGTGTGAACCGGCTGAATACCACCACTGATCACGATGAGACCCCGGGACACAGGAACCGTCTTAAATAGGAGTCGGTTGCCAAGGGACTGAATTTTGATCACGTGACTGCATGGATGCTGCAGCGGTCATAAGTGTGAAAAATGGACATAAACTGCTTTTTTTTAAAAGTGCTGGTGTAACCAGGGGTGGGATCCGACCGGTGTAACTACCGGTTCGATGATTTACGATTTGCGCGCGCATGTGATTCGTCATCAGCTTGCAGCCTGAACAGCTGAGCAGCGTTGCGCATGGATGCGCAGCGTTGCGCATGGATGCGCAGAGCTCAAAAAAGCCCTTTTTCCCTGCTTTTTCAACCGCAGCCGTGCTGCGCAAAGCAGCTGAAGTTGAAAAAAACAGGAAATAAAGGTCAGGTAAGAGCCCGGGCGGGCAGGCGGGCCAAAACAGCAGCAGACACAGAACCGGTTCTCTGTCTGCTGCTCTTCAGAGCTACCGGTTCTACAGAGTTGGACAGAACCGGTAGAATCCCACCCCTGGGGGTAACTTTGAATGGTTGGTTGTAACTCAAGGACTACCTTAAATAACGGACAATTCAAAGGCCAATGGCAAACTTGCTCAGATTCTGAAGCATCGTGTATTTCTCAGCCTGCCTTAGATGCCTTTAGGAAGGAGGATAAATGGGTTCCTTGAAGAGCCTCTGCCCCCCACCCTAAAAAAAAAAAATGGGATGATGAAATATTCAAGGTGCTGAGATCTGCGCAGGGCCCCGAGTTCAAAAGGCGCCTCTCCCATTGAGAACGGCATAGGGCTGGATTCCTCAACTCAATTCACCTTCACCTTAATAGAAGAACAGAGTTGGAAGGGACCTTGGAGGTCTTCTAGTCCAGCCCCCTGCTCAAAGCAAGAGATCCTATAGCTTTCCAGACAAGTGGCTATCCAGTCTCTTAAAAGCCTCCAGTGATGGAGAAGGGAAGGAAGGATA